TGTTTGCACACAAGTTCATTCTGTATGGTTTCTTGCCACAGTGAAGGACTTACACGTGTCGTCTAGTTAGCTTTAGTCTGCGCTTTCACTTTCACTTCAGAAATGAGCATTTTAAAAGGCATGTAAAGGTAAAGGGATCCCTGACTGTTAGGTCCAGTCGCGGATGACTCTGGGGTTGCAGCACTCATCTCGCTTTACTGGCCGAGGGAGCCGACGTTTGTCCGCAGACAGTTTTTCCGGGTTATGTGGCCAGCATGACTAAGCCACTTCTGGCGAACCAGAGCAGCGCACGGAAACGCTGTTTACCTTCCCACCAGAGTGGTACCTGTTTATCTACTTGCACTTTGCCGTGCTTTCAAACTGCAAGGTTGGCAGGAGCGGGGACTGAAAAACGGGAGCTCACCCTGTCATGGAGATTAGAACTGCCGACCTTCTGATCAGCAAGCCCTAGGCTCTGGTGGTTTAACCCACAGTGCCACCCGCATCCCCAAAAGGCATGTATCCTCATGCTAAAATTTGTGCTAGTGTGTTGGTTTTAAAAGATATATTGACCATCCCCAGCACAGGTTTCCGTCAGTGGATAACAGAGGAAGGTAACTTTGGCTGATTCCCCCTCTCACCAGCAGCAGCCTGTGCCCTCTCAATCTGCTCCAGAGGGTCAGGCAGACCTTTGGAACAGCATGTGAGGTGGGGAGAGAGGCTGCATTGGAGATGGGGAATCAGTAAATCTTTCTTTCTCTCCATTATGCTGATAGAAGCTTCTTCAGGGATACTGTTGGATGTAGTCAGCTGAAAAATTGTAGCTATATGATATTTATTTAGCATCTTAAAAAGAATGAATAAATGCTCAGAATCTATCTGTTCACAACATCCTGCTGAAAAATGTGCAAGCTTAGGCCTTGAAAAGCCTTTAAGGAAAGGGAGTTTGTAATTCTGGGGCAGCAACCCAGGACTCCTCTTTTTGTGACATGATGGGATGAAATTAGCAAACAGAATATCAAGGCTTCATTTAACTGAAGACTTGTGATGGAATTTTAGAGGAGGTGTCTTTAAAGTCTAAGCTTCTTAGGATTTTTAAATTATAGATTAATATTGCCACCTTTAGCTGTGCCCATCACTACTGTAATTTGCTATCTGTCTTCCTCCTCCGGGACGCGGGTGGCGCTGTGGGTAAAACCTCAGTGCCTAGGACTCGCCGATCGCATGGTCGGCGGTTCGAATCCCCGCGGCGGGGTGAGCTCCCGTCGTTCGGTCCCAGCTCCTGCCCACCTAGCAGTTCAAAAGCACTCTTAAGTGCAAGTAGATAAATAGGTACCACTTTATAGCGGGAAGGAAACGGCGTTTCCGTGCGCTGCGCTGGTGCTGGCTCGCCAGAGCAGCTTCGTCACGCTGGCCACGTGACCCGGAAGTGTCTTCGGACAGCGCTGGCTCCCGGCCTCGGACACGACTGGCCCGTACGGACAGGGGTACCTTTACCTTTACCTTTACTTCCTCCTCCACTAAGAGACTTGTTGCTATAATCTGTACCAGCTAAACCTTCAAACAATTATCAAGTGCAAAAAGTATATTAGACTAGAATTCAGGTTACAAAACCATGAATGGGAGTTGTTGCAGTCAAACATTTGCAAGTAGAACAGATATTTTTCTTGTTGTCACTTCAGGCTGTGTGGAGTGTAGTGGTAAAATCAAACGTACCCCAACAATGAAAACTTCAGTGAGTTCGGTAATAGTATACTGTAAACGTGTTCTGATGTAAATTCCATGGTCTCCCCTTCCTCTGAAAACCATATACCTAAATTAAAATTGAATAGCCTTTTCCACAGCTTAAAAGCTTTGCTGCTCTGTTTCATCATTGCATGTGTCCCCACCCCCAAATTTGTTTGAAAAAGTATTTGGAAAGGTTCACCCTTTTGACCATTGCTTGTAATGATCATACAGTGGTACCTCGGGTTACATACGCTTCAGGTTACAGACTCCGCTAACCCAGAAATAGTGCTTCAGGTTAAGAACTTTGCTTCAGGATGAGAACAGAAATCGTGCTCCGGTGGCGCGGCAGCAGCGGGAGGCCCCATTAGCTAAAGTGGTGCTTCAGGTTAAGAACAGTTTCAGCTTAAGAACGGACCTCCGGAACGAATTAAGTACTTAACCCGAGGTACCACTGTATTTATCTGTATTGCTAAGCCATGATCCTGAGAGAGTGAAACATGCATTTATTGTCACATGGCTCTTTACTATCAATACCTGCATTCTTCCAGGGCATTCCCCCCACCTTACCCCTAGACAGCAGGTCTTCTGAGTGCTGGGATAGATTAATGATACTTTTTGGTACCATTGATGGACAAGGCACAGGGAGACTTGGATGCCTCTTCTCTTTCTCTTGATTCTTCTCCTTCCTATCAGGAACATACGCTGGGGTTGGTCAGGTTGGCCCCGGGGTGGGGACCAGAAAAATCACACCTCTCTACTCTGACCTACCCGTCCCTGCACTCTCCTTGCCAAGGGTCATGGCAAAAGTGAGATTGGAACCAAGGACTTCCGAATTTGTAGCTTTGCCACTACAGGGGTACCTCTGATTAAGTACTTAATTCATTCCGGAGGTCCGTTCTTAACCTGAAACAGTTCTTAACCTGAAGCTCCACTTTAGCTAATGGGGCTTCGCGCTGCTGCCGCGCTGCCGGAGCACAATTTCTGTTCTCCTGAAGCAAAGTTCTTAACCCGAGGTACTATTTCTGGGCTAGCGGAGTCTGTAACCTGAAGCGCCTGTAACCTGAAGCATCTGTAACCACTGTATGTTACACTGGCTCAGTATTTTTCCAGAAAAAAGCAACATGTTAAGATACGAAGGGTAGCCACTCATCTGATGCATACAGTGGACGCATGCCAGGAAGTGGCAGCCAAGTGGTGCTCCTTGGCACATGCCTCAGAGTATTTAGGATCTGCACCTGCCCTTCATGTACCCTTCGTACATTTACTGCAGCAAACAGCACCTGTACCATCACTTTAGCTGCGGCAAATATTGTAACGTGTGAAACCTTTTGCTATTTGAAGACAATGCACCTTTACCAGTTGCAAACTCCATGACAGCAGTGGGAGGTGATGGGGAAGGGGATACTGTGGGCTGCAATAGCAGGTGGGCATCCTTTCTGTCCTTAATTAAAAACTGCTGCAGCTGTTTGACACAAGTCTTTTTGGTGCCATGCCCCTGGAGAAATCAGCTGTGAAATCCGCTTAATGAGTGAACTCATACTGTGTTACAGCTTGGCATCCTTGCATCAGTTAATTTATAGGTAATTCCTGCAGGGAGGCTAAATAAGAAGGAAGAAAAGTTCTCTCAATTGTGATTTGTCTCATGCTTCTACCACGAGAAGATATAGTGCAACAATATTTGATTGAGAAATCCCCCATTTACGTTCATGATTTTGGTACAACAACAACAACAACAATTTATTTATACCCCACCCATCTGGCTGGGCTTTCCCATTGTGATTCTCAGTTTTTAAATGGATCATCCTTGTTCTCTCCTTTTTTTTTTTGCTTTCCTTTGAGTAAAAAGGATAACTCTCTACCCCTTTAGCAAATATAGGGGACATGTCAAAAGAATGTGGTTTTGATGAATGCCTCTCTAATACAACATGAAGATTTTGCTGACCTGTTGACTGCAAGAAAACGTCTTTCTTTTTTTAATCAGAGTGAAAACCTGGATAGTATGGTAACCATACCAGACATCAAGCTTCACAGCAACCCTTCAGCTTTCAACGTCTACTGCAATGTGCGGCATTGTGTTCTGGAGTGGCAAAAAAGGGAGACCTCTGTAGCCTTGGCTTCAAAAAACATGGTGCAGAGTGGTGATTCAGACAGTGAGGAAGAGGAGGAGGCTAAGGAGCCGCCTATCAAGCTTCCAAAGGCAAGTAACCCCGCTGACCACGTCAAGCTCCCATGTAAAAGGCATAATAATAGTCTTTGACATGTTCTGTAGTACAGAACTCAAAGCATCTCACTGTAACGGGACTTACTGTGTTGTGTTTTAGATAATTGAAGTTGGACTCTGTGAAGTGTTTGAACTTATCAAGGAGACAAGGTTTTCTCACCCATCTCTCTGTTTGAGAAGTCTGCAGGCCCTTCTGAATGTTCTTCAAGGCCAGCAACCAGAAGGCCTCCAGTCAGAACCTCCTGAAGTTCTAGGTAATGTTTCCTGCAATTTAACTTCTAATTTTTCAAACAAAACAGTAACAGGGAAATATTGATAAATCTTTAAATCACAATTTATGGGATGTATGTCTGGTAGCTCACAGGGAGTATTTATTTAGTTCTTTTATTTGAAATATTTTTTACCCTGCCTTTCCTTGAAATGATCAAAGCTGCTTATAGCCCAGTGCAAACAATTAAAAATACAAGTAAGAATAACAGCTAAAGAGAAAAAAGAAACAACAGGTAAAAGGATTTAGAATCGTATAAGGAGATTACAACATCAGTGTAGTCCTGCATGATTATGAATGTTGTCAGAGTTTTCTGCTGGCAGTCGTATTGCCTTTGTTCTGCTAAGATTTTCTCCAAATGTATTTGCAGAATAAATGGGTAACATAAGGGTAATTTAACAGAAACTGATTTTTAACATTGCTAATTGTATGAAGTGTAAAAAATTGATTTGCAACGTCATGAGCAACTGCTTTTAAAGATAATTCAGCAACCGCATTAAAAAATTTTCACTTTGCCATGTATATACAAGTAGACCAGTGTGATCTTCATTACATTTGAAACAATTTTAAAACTATTTTAGTTTTATGAGTGTTTAATGCTGGAGAGGGAGGGGTGGAGGGAGAAAACCTAATGCCGAACAGCTTCAATAGAAAGGCATTTAAGCCAATTTTACACCACATCACCCATGTAGTGGTCACTGATAATTGTTTCTTAGAATAATAGACTTAGAATAATAGAATTGTAGAGTTGGAAAGGACGACAAGGGTCATCTACTCCAACCCCCTGCAAATGCAGGAATCTTTTGCCTAGCATGGGACTTGAACTCACAACCCTGAGGTTAAGAGTCTTATGCTCTACCAACTGAGCTATCCCAGCTTCTGCTAATGCTGCAGAACTTCTTCCTTTCTTCCCCATCCCCTGACACCCCCCACGCGCATCTGTTCTGGAGGGTTGGGGGAAATTCTAAAAATAGCAAGTTATTTTTTTTAATTTCCCACCCTTTCTTTAACCAGTTCTCTCTCTCTCTCTTTCTCTCTATCTAGCTCCTTCTGTGCTCATTTCATGTTAGAAATAGGGCTGATGTTTATTTATTTCATTTGGGGCATGGGACACAAATAAGTGCTGAAACATACAAAACATGGACTCTTACATGCCATATCAACAAATTTGTTACAGTATCTGTTACAGTTGTACCTCATTTTGCAGCTGGGATCCGTTCCGGAACCCCGGCCGCTAGCCGAAAAGGACGCAGGGCAAAGTGTCGTGTCTGCACACGCACGCAGAGCGGTTTGTGCTTCTGTGCATGCACGAAGCACAATTTAGTGCTTCTGCACATGTGCAAGCTGCAAACCCGGAAGTAACCCGTTCCGGTACTTCCGCGTTTGCCACGGACGTTCGCTGGAATGAACGCAAGACAAGGCGGACATTCGCGGAGGTATTACTGTATTGCAAGTTTCATTCTCCACAGCCAAAGTAGTAAGGCAACATGTTTTGAGTGATGGGATGACTATTTTCAAGCATTCTGCTGTGAACTGAGTGGTTCTGCTTCAAAGGCAGAAATCCTCTTGTCAGATAGATGTATGTCAGTGACATTGAACACTGTATTATGTGTCTTGCATATCCTTTAACCATTGAGTATTCCCCAGACTTTGGGTTGAACAGTTGAGGATCTGAGTTCTTTCTGATGCTGCATGGATTCCAATTTATTTAAAAATAATTTCAGTGAGGAGTGTTAATTTTTTTAAGGATCCAGGGCAAATCATCAGCATTGTTCCTCTTTCACTTTTCCAATAAAGCTCCTATCTTGCAAGGCATTAATCACTACTTATTTATTTACTTGTCTATTTTATTAACTGTATTTCTAAATCACCCTTCCCCCGAAGGAACGTAGGTTGATGCGCAACAAACGTACAAAATTCATTACACAAGCAGTAAAAGCACATTACTAAAAAGAAATGTTAATAACTCATTAAAACACTGATTCAAATATTGTTGCTGAGGATTAAACATTCCATGGCCAAACTACAAAAGTATGGGAAGATATACCGTAAATATCTTGAATTGACATCTGAAGGACAACAACGAGGCTGACAGGTGTACCTCTAAGGGAAGATGATTCTAGAGTCAGGGCACCAGAAAACAAGAGTCGGCCCCCTTTTATGTGTCTCTTCCTCCCAAATCCTAATGGGGACTATGTTACCCCACCCCCAGTTGCTCTTATGGATTGTGTTGCAATGGAGGAGGTGTTCCTGCAGATGTTTGGTCTCCAAGCTGTTCAGGGCTTTATAAATGATTGCTAATACATTGAATTGGGCCCTGTAGTGAACAGTCATTGCAGAGTCTTTAAGACTGAATTATTGTGAGCAAGATAGCATCATACAATACCAAACAGGAGTTCACAAGAGCATGGATTACTAATGGCAGGTTATCATAACAGTACTTCTTGAATCAGTATTAGTTATCGTTTGTGATGACTGTGCTTTTGTGTAAATAACTCTTTGTTCTATCTTTAGAGTCTCTGTTCCAGCTTCTTCTAGAAATCACTGTTCGGAGTACTGGAATGAATGACAGTACTGGTCAGTCTTTGACAGCACTTTCATGCGCTTGCCTCTTCAGTCTTGTAGCTGCATGGGGAGAAACGGGACGAACGCTTCAGGCAATCTCCGCTATCCTTACCAACAATGGGAGCCACGCTTGTCAAACTATCCAGGTCTTTGATCAAAATTTGGATTATTGTGTTGGCTGATGGCATGCATCTGTATCTGTCTCTGATCCCAATAAATTGCTTGATGTTTCCCAAATCAGAGATGGCCAACTTGAGTGCTAAGGATTGCATTAGAAATTTCTTGAGACAAGAGGCCACAGGTGGTAGTAGTTTGGAGTTCACTGCAATTGGCCTAATAGAGCTTGCCCTTTTCATGGATGCAGCACATGCCGTATGTTTGACAAGTATTTGTCATGTTATTCTGAAATGTGTTTGGAGTAAAATACCTGAAACCTTTCCTTGAGGAATTGTAATATAAGTCTTTAGTTGAAATGCATTGCACTGGATCCAAAGAAAAACACAATTGGTTCCAGTTGTCCAAGGAAGCTTTGTACTTCTGTTTTTCGAAAGCAAACCAAGGTTTGAAAAGTGGCTTGTGGAATGGTGGGTCTGCCACTCAAAGGGAAAAAATAAAAAACCTCTGACTGAGCATCCCTTTGGATCCCAGCTGTAATAAATATGGGCTTCTAAGTATTTGCTTCCTTGTTTGACCTCGCCATTTCAGGCTTTTGTTTTCTGGAAACCCACATTCTTGAGATTCTCAGAGCAACCTTAGGCACGGTGAGAAATGCTCACTAGTAGATGTTTTGTGCTTTTGCTTTTACCCTTTTCTTGTTACAGCCACAGGAGAAATTACATAAGCGGGAGGTTTAGGCTGTGACCCACCTGAAGCTTGTGCCTATCTCCCATTATGTATTCCTTATTTAGTTATCAGAAAAAGCAGAAGTGCCATTTACGTGTGCATCTCTTTCTCACTTCTGCTTATAAAATCTGGAGCTGCTCTTTGAAGCTTTCAGATTGTAAAGCTTTCTGAGAACTTGCATTTTTGTTTCTTATACAACTACTAAAGAGCACCATAAGATAAATACCTCTATTTTCCAGCTAGGCACCTCTCCTTGACCTTAAGCATAATTACGGTAACAAGAATGAAATTACCCTCAAACTCTGTGGAACTTTCAAGTGAAACACATTGAAGATTTGAATGTAAATAGTTTTGTGAAAGGGAGGAATAACGTGTATGTGTCTTATGGGTTAGATCCAGAGAAGAGTGAACAGTGTCTGCTCATTCAGTGGTGGTTTCCTGGCTTCACTCCAACCCCTTGAATCCTTCCCACACGATCCACTGAGGGACTATATAGAAGGGGTATGGGGGACTGAAGCAGGTTAGGGAAATTGGAAGAATTCGATGAGACCGCCTTTGGCGGAAGTGCCCTTTGGCTCACACAAGAAGCCTTTGGATCCAAGCCAGTGTTCATTTTCATGAAAGACAACTGCTTATAGCAGAAAAATAAGTAGTCATTTGCAGTACATGCTACAGACTAACTCAAGTTGTCACTTGGAACAACTTTCCCTGATGCTAGGCAAAATCCATTTCCATAAGGTAGGTTAGGTGTTGAATGAACTATCATAGAGTCTATATCATTTAGTATTAACTTTCAGGTAACTGTGCTATGTTGTTGTTTTCCATTTTTAGGATTGGTGATTTAAAGTTTTCGAGTAAGTGACAGTGGTTATCTTTCCCCCTGTTTAGGTGCCAACTATATTGAATTCCCTCCAGAGGAGTGTACAAGCTGTTTTGGTGGGCAAAATACAAATCCAAGATTGGTTTAGCAATGGGATTAAGAAAGCTGCCCTGATGCACAAGTGGTCTTTAAAGGAAATCTCTGTAGATGAAGATGACCAGTGTCTCCTTCAGAGTGATGGTTACTTTTTGTATTTATTATGCAAAGATGGACTGTACAAAATCGGCTCTGGCTACAGTGGGACAGTCAGGGTAATTTACATTTTGAGCTTGAACAGTTTTCATGAATCTGTTTTTAAATGAGTAAAACTTATTTCTATTTTTTCATCAAATTTATATCCTGCCCTTCCTCCCAAAGGAGCCCAGATGTATTGAACATCTGGACATGAAGGTGCATCGGACAAAGAATTGTCCACAGTTTACCAACTCGTTTTTAAAATGTTGCTTTTTTTGTATGACTGCTTTATAGATGGCATCTTCAACAATTGTATTAAATTGCAGGGTCATATATACAACTCTACATCTCGCATCAAAAATAGAAGAGAGAAGAAGTCTTGGTTGGGTTATGCTCAGGTAGGCGGAATTTGAAATCAAATACAAGAAATTAATATTAAATTGAATGAGCTATAATGTAGGCTAAATTGGACCAAACATTGTATAATTCATTATAAATCCATTGGTGTAAATGGAAAGAAAGTAATATAATTTGAGCTTATAATTCTAAAATATAAAATTAAACTTTAAAATATACATGGTGGCTAATGTAAAATAGGAATATATTCAATTTTTGATACTTACCCAAAAATATTGTATAGGACTTGAGGTGGGACAAAGTTCACTTTTAAAATGGCCATAAAAGGTATCAAAGCACATGGCTTGGCAACAATTGAACTGGGTGGCAAAATGTACTTTTCCTACTTGTTCCTAATGTTTGCTACGGCATAGTGAAAATATGTACAGTCATACCTCGGGTTGCGAATGTGTTCTGTGCGGGAGGCACATTCGCAACCCACAGCATTTGCAGCCTGAAGCGCCGCGTCTGTGTGTGCGTGTGACGCGATTTGGTGTTTCTGCGCATGCGCGAGTGCCAAAACCTGGAAGTAACCCGTTCTGGTATTTCCAGGTTTGGTGTGGTCCGCAACCCGAAAACGCACAACCCGCAGCGTTCGTAACCCGAGGTATGACTCTATAGCATGTCACTAGATGTCTAACATCCTGCAATTGTTACAGGAAGCAATCTTGAACTGCCCACCCCTCCCCAGTTACAAATATCTTGACTAAAACCTCCATTCTCTTGTCCATTTATCTCTATGGTCTATATTGTATCTTTGTTGAACTGTTGTTTGATCATGGGGAACAGTGGAAGATGAGATCTGTAGGCCAAGTCCTTAATTCATAATACTGCTGGATGTTTTTCCATATCTTTTGGGGGAAGGAACAGGTTTCTATTGGAATATGAAGGACCACTGAGCATATTTTCCTTCAAACATTTCTTTTGCTTATTATCTACTCTTGGGAATAAGACATTCTAAGCCAGATAGATGTATAAATAGAAATGTTCTGTTTACCTTCCTATTGCTTCGTATCGCA